AGGAACGTGAACTCCACTGACAAATTTCATTGATTGATTGATTGATTGATTGAGTGATTTCGGGCGTGACAATTGCTCAGGTTGTTAGTCCCGTAAGTGTGGTGCACGTTTTTCTTGGGAGATGACGGTGTTCTTCCCCCGCTGGATGTTGAGATCCGGCGCCGACATACCATCGGCTAGCGGGAGTTTTTCCCCAACCAGAGATCCCCCACCAGCGAGGCACCGCCCCACCAGGAACAAGCTCTAAGCTCCCGTCATGTGTTGTAGTGTACTGCGTGTAAGTGTAAATGTGCGTAAGTAAGGGGTATAGATACGGCAAGAAAAAGGAGGGAAAGATCGCGGGCGGTCCGAGGCCCATTTGTTAGGGTACAGTTCCGGCATTCGTTTGATATTGATCGAAGAGGTCGCGGAATATTAGCGATCAAATCAGCCGACGGCTAGGATTCTCCTCGAGACAGTGACTGAGCTCGACCTAGTTATTAAGCTAGTGTCGATAATCCTTCTAACGTCGAAATTAGGACCTCCCGGTCAGAGACACTGCAGCGACATCAGTTGAAGCCTTGAGCCACCTTTTCCGGTCCATCGACAACCTATACGTCGACTAGCGAGGGTTTCATACGCGAGGTATCTTCTCCAGCCGCGAACCGCTTCCGCTGGCTCAAGCTCTAAGCTTCAGACTGAACAGCCTACATCTATGCTGTAATCTGTTTGTTAGTGTACTGTTCCGAATTTAGCCTGTTATAATCGGAGAAACGACAGAAAATTACCGATCAGAGCAGTTGGCCGTTAGACGTCTCCTGCAGACGCTTGAATTCGACCAGCTGTAAACCTAGTGTCGAAAGTCCACTACCATAGACCGAACTCTAAGACCTGTCTCAGAAGGACGCCTTGGTGAGAACAGTGTAGAATCGAACCTTGGCAGTCTGTTTTCTATCAAGAGGCTCCGTGCTATGTGCATTTTTCAGTATGTGTGTGTGTGTTTGAGTGTTCTGCAGTGCAGTGCAGTGCAGTGCAGTGTGGTCTTAATTGAACAAATATTACAAATTAAATTATACAAATGTTAAGTGTTGACTTTCTATTGTAGTTTCTTTTTCTTAATGTAACTTAATGTTTTATTAATCAGTCGGATTTTATATTATTATTATTATTATTATTATTATTATTATTATACTTTATGTCATTTGTATGGTCTTATTTATGTGATTAGCTGCCACCGGGTTATACTAATTTCAGTTTAAATATATTTATCTTTACTTTAAAACGAAGACTTCGGCCAAGGCTGCTTGCCGTGCGCTCTTCCCACGACTACACAACTTCGCGTCTTTCCGCGTAAGCACTGATGGGAGGTAGGTTGCGAAACTCTTCCAATGAGTTTGACAAGGCTTTTGAGCCAGGAGGAAGTGCGAGTAAATAAATCGATGACAGAATGAGTTATTTTATACTCAGCTTACAAAAGACAA